TCAGCGTGTGTTCAGTCCCCTGTACTGACCCGCTGTTTTAGAACATCCCTCACCTTGTGCGCTGTTTTCCGAAATACAGCTCGGTATTTATTAAGCGTAATTCTTTTTTAATACTTGGGTAAGCCGTTCAAGACGCGGTAGAAGGCATATCTTGTACAAACGTTACACCTTTGGCGTTTTTGTTTTAGAAAAAAGTTCAAATTAGGAAGATAAGCAGCCCGAGACGAGCGCGTGTGGCCGTGTTAATGACAGCACATAACGAGCACGTTAATGGCGTAACGGCGGTTTATCGGACAACATGGGCTCTGAGCAGACACCGCTGTCCTACAAAGCGATGCCGCAGGTGCTGTAGCTCTCTGTTCTAGAACCGATATGCCCCTGTCCTGTGGGAAGATCAGTTCTAGAATCGCTGTCCCTGTTCTAGAACGGGGACACCTGTTCTAGAGCGTCGCTCTCCTGCTGTGGTTTCACGCCGCGGTGCTCCAGGCGCCGACACGTTGACTTCGTCCGTATTTCTGACACCAGACCTCCAGGAAGTTCCATAATCTCCCGGATAAATTGCCCCCCCGCTCCCAAATCTTCCTGTTGGCGACACCCCCGGTCCGCAAACTCATCGGCGAATTATTGAATGACAGGGTCCGTCTTGAGCCGTCGGAGAATCCGCTCCAGTCTGCTCAACAAGAGGCGACTCTGCACAAGAAAGTGAGATTATTCAACTGGACTGGTGAGGTATAGCATTTATAGTGTATATTCTATATCATAGTATAGTATGATGTATAGTATAGTAGAATAGTATATTATAGTATCTATCAGCGAATTATTTAATTCTATAGCTGTGATTTATTTTAAGGGGGACCCCCCACCCGGTCCGCACGTTTCGACGCCCCCCTCCCTGAAATCAACTTTTCCGACTCGGGGTGTCTGTGGCGCCGGTGTGAGACCCACGTTGTGCGCAAATACAACTTAATGGAGACCAGCAGCGCGAGCGGCGGTAGTCCGCGCGGGCTGTCAAGAAGTGGTGAAAAGGTGTTGGTGCTTTTCGGGGATCCACCTGTCACCCCAGATACTGTGCTGAAGCCCAGAAAGAGTCAGAGAAGGTACACACACACACACACAGACACCCTGGACAGGACGCCAGTCCATCACAGGAAAAAGACACAGAGGGCAGGAGAGGGCAGCAGTGGGCAGAAGAGGGCAGGAGAGGGCAGCAGTGGGCAGGAGAGGGCAGGAGAGGGCAGCAGTGGGCAGGAGAGGGCAGCAGTGGGCAGCAGTAGGCAGGAGTGGGCAGCGGTGGGCAGGAGAGGGCAGGAGAGGGCAGCAGTGGGCAGGAGAGGGCAGCAGTGGGCAGGAGAGGGCAGGAGTGGGCAGCAGTGGGCAGCAGTGGGCAGCAGAGGGCAGCAGTGGGCAGCAGTGGGCAGCAGTGGGCAGAAGAGGGCAGGAAAGGGCAGGAAAGGGCAAGAGAAGGCAAGAGAAGGCAGGAGCAGGCAGCAGTGGGCAGAAGAGGGCAGGAGAGGGCAGGAGAGGGCAGGAGAAGGCAGGAGAAGGCAGGAGAAGGCAGGAGCAGGCAGCAGTGGGCAGAAGAGGGCAGCAGTGGGCAG